GAGCTTTGTCCTGGTTTTGCGCTGCTATCCGGCGACGTGCCATTTCGCTTCTTGGTGACAGGGTCACAGCTGCCTTGGGGACCCCCTCGGTGGAGGCAGAAGCCCTGGCTGCTTCTTGAGAGATGCAGCACTGCACCCAAGCCTGCCCATCCTCATGGCAATGCTCCCCAGCAGGCAAGGCGTCCTCCTCGCTAATGCACAGGCGGAAAGCTCAGCTTTGCCCTTACAGTGATGCTTCTTAGGAGCATTCAGAGCACAGGCAGTGCAGGAACAGCTCTGGTTTTACAGTCAGCCACATCAACTCTGCAGCTAATGCAAGAATATTTCCTTCTGCAGAATTTGAGAGGACCCATTACCCTGATGTGTTTGCAAGAGAGAGACTAGCTGCTAAAATAGACCTGCCTGAAGCAAGGATACAGGTACTGCAATTATGACTATTATTATTTTTACTATTACTACTCTGATTTTGTTACTCCTGGCTTATCAAAGCATGGGGCAAGCCATATTTATGATCAGATATTTGCCCATACCCCTCTTTCAGGAAAATAGCAGCAGCTGGCTTTGCTTTCCCCCGCTGCTTTGCTCTTGGGCTGCGTGGGAGAGGCCCTGTGCCTCTAGTCCTTGTAAGGTCACTCACATCTCTCAAATGCTGTGTTTCCAGGTGTGGTTTTCCAACAGAAGGGCCAAGTGGAGAAGGGAAGAGAAGCTGAGGAACCAGCGAAGACAAGCCAGCAACACTCCCAGCCACATTCCCATCAGTAGTAGTTTCAGCACAAGTGTTTACCAGCCGATCCCACAACCAACCACCCCCGGTAATGCCCCCAACACACTCATCTCCATCCATCCATCCATCTATCCTCTGGGCCAAATGAGACTCTGAGGCTGTGCTGCCAGTTGCAATTGTGGTTAAACTAATGTGTCCATCTATCTGTCTATTCTATTATAGTTTCCTCTTTCACATCAGGTTCCATGTTGGGCAGGACGGACACGGCGCTCACGAACACGTACAGCGCGCTGCCGCCCATGCCCAGCTTCACCATGGCCAACAACCTGCCTATGCAAGTGAGTCCAGTGCCACGCCAGGGCACAGCACTGCCTGGGCACTCAGCAGCCCCTGGGCTGTGTGGGAGTGTGGGTGGGGACCCTTCCTCCGTGCCACGAGGGATTACAGACCCAAACCGTGCTGCAGTGGCATCTTTTCAGATGCTTTATTTGGGGGAATCAGAAAGGAAAAGGGCACTGAAAGATGTGGTGCTCAACAAGCGCTTTTCTCAGGTTCCCAAAGAGAAAAGTCCTCAGATTTGCAAGGCAACAAATCTGGGGTTAAAAAAAATGCTGTTTGGGGAAAAAAAAATGTGGTTAACCTCTGGAACTTGCTGATGCCATATTGTGGAAATTGCTGCTTGAATAAGCTGCTGGAGGGATCCGACCTTCTGGATGTAGGTAACGTGGCAGAGGCACATTAGGAACACCTGAGAGAGGGAAGGATGTGATTAGCATCAGTGGTTATGCCAGCTAAGCCAGAATTGCAAGAGCTGTCAATCCTCATGCCTGAAAGCATTAGCTGATCACCAGCTGGGTTAGGAAGAAATCTATTCCTTTGGGGTCTGTTTCTATAGACCTTTCAGATGCAAAATTCCTCCTTTTTTAATGGTGGGGTTGGCCTAGGAAGGTGCTGGCCAATTACGGGAGTTTTACAGCTTTGTCTGAGGCGCACAGCATTGACCACTGCTAGAGACAGGCGAGCAGATTAGAGAGCCTGACTCCTTCGCTGCGGCAATTACCATGTTACTAATTNCTATTCACCCGCCGCCGGCCGCCTCAATGGGGCTGCGGCCGCCCATATGGTGACCACGGCCGCTGAATCCCTGTGTTTAAATGGAGGAGAAAGTTCGGGTTTTAAAACATTTCAAAGTGGTTGAAAGGGTCCCACCAGATCCTGTCACAATTCCCCCCGAGCTTTGAAGACCGGGGCCATTGTTCGCCGATTATAAATGATATTACTTTAAAGTTGATTTCCCACAATATTTAAAGGATGTCGCGGGAGTGTCGCTATTTATTTTTGGCGTAACTTTTCAAGGGAATTAGCATAAGTAGCCCATGCGTCCCTCACCCCGGCTCCCTCTTTATGCGACATCAAAAACGCTTCGAAAAATATGCTTTGAAAGGAGAGGGAGAGCTCATTTAGGACAAGGACTTCTCTGCCTCGCCGGCAGCCTCCGTCCCTCTGGCCCCGGCGTTCGGGGGTGCCCGCGGAGCCCCCCAAGAGCAGCCTGCCCCGGGCAGCACCGCCCCTGCCCGGGAGCCCAGCACAATGAAACTTTCCCCTGTTTAATGGCAGAAATTGCATTAAAAGTGGTGGAAATGCCCTAATTAAAAATGTACCACTTAAATGATATGCCAAGCGCTCAGCTGCAGAACGGCGTATTTAGCTAGTTAGTGAACTCGCTACTATTTCTTTTAAAATTACATGTTAAAATTTTAAAAGAAATCTTACTTTTCTCTGGTGCAACACATTACAAAGAATGGACAGTCCTTTTATCTAAATATAAAATTCCATTTTCAGCAATTATAGCCTGTTCTTGGTGATGATATAATTACAGCTGTGCTCAGTAATAGGTGTCAAGGCAATGCACACTCATACAATAGTTGAATAAAACTGCAGAACAATGCAGGCACTTCTAAATTCACAACCTTTAAAATGAAATTGACTGTGCAGAATTCAAATAAAAACTGGATAAATATTTTTTTAAAAAGATTACAAGCTTGGTTTGGTTTCTTAATAGCATTTTCTGCAAACCTATCAACATCTAATTGATTAGATAGGAATTACTGATTATAGATAATCTGAAATACTGAACATCACTATTTTAAATATAGCAATAGGTAAATAAATGCAGCAGACGGAGGAGACCGCCATGGCACTCCAGCAGGGATTCATGGAAAGAATCACTTTCAGGGGAAAGTATTTTTATGCAGGTTTTATTCCAGAGGGAAAACAAAATGAAATTAAGACCAGGTGATGGTAATTCCTCATCTCCGATGTTTACGTAAGGCTGGAAACAGAAATGTTTCCGTGTTACCTGTGCCATTAGCGCCGCGTTGCTTTGATACCCGAGACATTTGCAAGGGAGGGTGTCAGCAAACATGGCTGAACTCGTTTCCAGTTGCATTATTTCCCTGATAGGGATCTTCAAACACGAGTACCTGCATTTCACTTTCCGACTCTCTCGGTTCCACAGATGGCTGTCCGCAACAGGAGGGAGGAGGGGAAAACACAAACTCCATCAGCTCTAATGGAGAAGACTCAGACGAGGCCCAAATGAGACTCCAGCTGAAAAGGAAGCTGCAGAGAAATAGGACATCCTTTACCCAAGAGCAAATCGAAGCCCTTGAGAAAGGTGAGTGACATTTTCCTATGGCTGAAGCAGGAGAGAAAACAAAATGTGCCCTGACTACATTACCAGCCAAATGTTACCACAGCCATTCCTGTGCCTTATATATATGTATATATTTAAGCTCTGGGGCTCCCTCCGTGCTCTTTTATTCACAAATATTCATTGCTGGCCGTGGTGTGCCCTGCAAAGCTGTTACAATGGTTTTCGAAGGCGAGGTGTTCAGGGCAGGCATCCCACCGATGCTGCACCCCGGGATCCTCTCAGGGGGATAACTCTCCTCTCATCCTCTGTGCTGCCTTGCTGGGGAGGCGAGGGCAGGCAGGGGGCTGGCAGAGCCCTCCACNGGGCTCGGGCCGCGGGTGTGCGAGGGGGAGGCAGGCAGGCACTTAAAACATCCGCCCGGCGAAATTAAAATTAATAAAATGGATTTCCTCTGGAATATTCATGCTCCCTCTAATGTTTTTCCCTAGCCAGGGGTATGTTGCTGGATTTTAAGAGTCCATTACTCAAAAAGCATAAGGCGAGGTTAGGTCTCAGAGGGGTACAAATATGGTCTCAATCTGATAAACGCCATGCAGCAGTGAATAAAATAATGGATACATGAGGGCTGACAGAACAAAAAGAGACATCTCTATCCGGGAGAAATTCTCCAGTGATTTAGTGGTTTTAGGGATCACCGAGACACTGTTTCTTATCTTTTTTTCTCCCCTCCCTCTCTTATAAGACTAAAGCCTTCTATAGGATTTAGACACTTTCTCTTTCAACAGATGCTACAATGTTTTGATCCCGGCTCTATAGCTGAGAGGTGCTGCAATTGGTTTGCTATCTTTTTTTGCTTGTTTTCCGCCTCACTGATTAAGACACTAAGAAACTAAGGAATGATTTTATTTCCCAGCGTCTTTTTTTTTTTCTTTTTTTTTTTTTTTTCCAGGAAACAAATCCTATACCCAGCGTCAGATGGTCTGGCTATAGGATAATAGGGACGGACATTCACTTGCTTTCTTACGGATTAGGTCTGGAAGGTGGAACAGCCCTATTGAGATAGCTTCTTTTAGGGGCTTTAAAAAAAAAAACCAAACAACCAAAACTCAAAGAAAAAAAAAAAAAAAGAAAGAAAAGAAGGGGTGTGTGTCTAAAAAGAAGATATCTTAATTGTCCGGGACAGGGTTGGAAATGACCATAAGCGAGTTTAGGTGAGACTTTAGGTTGGCTGAACGATTTTTGGGGGGATGAGATTGGAAACGACCATAAGCGAGTTTAGGTGAAACCTTAGGTTGGCTGGAAAATTTTTGGGGGGACGGCGTTGGAAATGACCATAAGCGAGTTTAGGTGAGACTTTAGGTTGGCTGAACGATTTTTGGGGAGACGGGTTTGAAAATGACCATAAGCGAGTTTAGGTGAAACTTTACGTTGGCCTAATGATTTTGGGAGGATGGGGCTGGAAATGACCATAAGCGAGTTCAGATGAAACGTTGGCCAAAAGATTTTGGGTTTGGGACGGGAGGACTGGAAATGACCATAAACTGGTTTAGGTGAAACATTAGATTGGCTGAATGGGTCGGAAATCACCAAAAGCGAGTTTAGGTGAAACCTTAGGTTGGCTGAAAGATTTTGGGGGAACAGGATTGGAAATGACCATAAACTAACTGGTTTAGGTGAAATGTTAGATTGTCTGAATGGGTTAGAAATGACCATAAGCGAGTTTAGGTGAAACCTTAGGTTGGCCGAAAGATTTTTGGGGGGACGGGGTTGGAAATGACCACAAGTGAGTTTGGGTGTAACTNGGCCCCACGCCACGCAGCGTGGGAGGGAGGGAGAGAAGGAGAGAGAGGGAGAGGAGGGAGGGAAGCGGCGCCTCGCTGCCCCCGGGGCGGCCCCGACTTCTGCTTTGTGCTCTGCGTTAGGGAAGGCTCGCTCCTGACGGTGGAGAAAAACACAGGGAGAGCGGCCGGGAGAGTTGCGTGGGGAGGGGAAAAAAAAAAATTAAAAAAAGGAACCCATATCCTAGGCCAAGGCAGCTCCCAGGCGCGGTACAGGCGGGGAGCTGAGCGGAGCTGAAGGGCTGTCAGCTTTAATCAGCCACCCGGGGATCTTCCCAACTTGTCCCCAGTGCCGGCAACTTTCCCAGCTCCGGCGCGGAGAGCCCGCACCGAGCCCCGCCGGGCGCCCCGTCCTGCCCCGCACCGGGCTTGCCCTGCTGCCGCTCTGGGGAATTATTTTTACTCCCTTTTTCAATCCAAATGCTTTAATTTATTGTTATTTTTTTAATTAAAAAAACCCTTAACACCTTTTATTTCTACAAAACCCTCTTTGATCCAATCCCTCACGACAGCAAAGCCTTTTTTTTTAAACTTTCAAGAATTTATAAACTCTTCGCCATGCAAGAAAAAAAAAATGATTGCTCCAGCGAAGTGCAGCAATAAACTTGATTCCATTTTCCCTCGCAAGTGCAATTGCAAAAAAAAAAAAAATCTGAGTTTGAATTTAACCTTGTAACGCTTTGCACAGAGGGGTTACATGGGCACTCAGAGCAGGAATAAATTCTGGAAAGTTTAAAAACAAACTTTCTCGAATGATTCAATGTACCTGGCAGAGGTTGTTTTGGAAAACGACAAGGACGTACTAGAGAAGAAAAGTGAGTGCATCTTCCCCATCTTAGGGGCATAAAATAATAAAAGTGGCCCTTGACAATAAATGTTTATAGCTGCTGACCTTCACCAGTAACTCACCGCAAACCGATTCGTTTTTACCTCTTTCGCGTTTGCCCCGGGAAGGCGAAACTTTGCCCTTAACGCCTGAACACAGTTTCACCGGGAGAGGGGGGAAAAAATGCTCTCTGCCATGAGATTATGCCAAAATTTCCAGATTAAACCCCGAGCTGCGGATTAGGCCCTGCCTATGAGGACGCGGCAAATCGCGCCGGGGCTCCGGGGGTGCCGCGGGAGGAGCCGATGCCTCGCTGGCCGTGCGGGGCCTGCCCGGGGCCGCTGCTGGAGGCGGTGGCGAGCAAACACAAGCAGCTCCTCGCCCCTCTTACCTTGCTGCAGACCTCGGTTACCCTCTCCTTCTATTCTAAACCGCTCTCGGCTGTGTTTGGGTTTGTTTTGTTCCGCGGCTTTTTATTTTTTCCTCCCCCCGGTTCTTTTCTCTCAAACCCTCTCGGTGTCATTGGCGAGGTGTGTGCGGGCAGGGCTGGGAGCTGCAAGTTTTGCCGCTGCCTTTTGGGATGGCTCCTCTGGCCCCGTAGGCCCCGCGTTTGGGATTTTTGCGTGAAATGCGGGAGGAAATTGTGTGTGGGGCGGTGGGTTCGCCGCTCGGTGTGTGCCCGTGCAGACGTGTTCGGTGTGTTAAAGGGATGGCTCCGCGCTCAGCTCGGCTGAAGGAGATATTCCCGCGTCTCCTCTGGAGTGTGCAGCGTAGCTTGCTCTGCTGCTAATCAGGTAGCTCTCCAAAGAGCAGTAAATATTTACCAGCTAAAGTCTTCACGCTGCGAGAAAGTGCTTGTTTGATGTTTATTTTTATGGATTTGAGATTACTAAAAGCTACTTAATAAATTATACCGTGGCTGGTCCTGAATGGGGAAACGTGCCTCTTTGGTTTCTCCATCATATGCAGGAAGAGTAAAATTAATATTCATTATAGGCGCAAAAGAAAGAGAATGAGTATTTTTAGGCGAAAAAAAAGGGAGAGAAAATGAAGGCTGCGACTATTTCATTATTTTACCTCCTTTTTTTTAGCAACCCCCTTGAATGGGCTCTTTATTGTAATTGTCCCTCCCCAATTGAGCACCCCACTGAGCTGTTGTATCTTTTTACAACCCCTAACAACTCGCACCAGTAACACAATTACCGCCAGATATTTATAACGAGAAATTACTTTTCCATTTTCACCCGCGACGATTTCAAATAAATACGCGGGGACGCATAAATAAATAAATAAGTGGGCCGGGGGCTGGCGGCGGGAGGGGGTGGGAGAGGGAAGGAGGGAGGGAAGGAAGGAAGAAGGAAGGTGGCGAGAGGAGGAGAGAGGGAGCAGTGGAAGGAGGGAGGGAGGGAGCGGGGGGGAAGGCGCTGGGGACTGTCCAGGCGCTGGGTCAAGGCAGGCACTAATGAAGGGAGAAGGGGCTTGTTTCTCTGCTCTTTGTAAGTTGGAGGGTTGTTGGTCCGTTGAGTTGGGAAGCTGCGCGGCCGGTTAAGGAGCCTGGGTTTCTGCACTCGGGGTTTGGGTAGAGGAGCAGAATGGAGGCCATTGTTCGCTTTCTGTAGGCTTTGTTTAACAGTTCTCACCCCCTCCTGTTCTTACTTTTTAAGGCAGTGAGGCGAGGTAGACAGCGTGTGTCACAGTACAGTGAAAAAGGGGAAGATCTAAAGACCAAAAAAGAAGTTAATCACAAGACGGGGAGTTTGGGGGAGAAAAAGTTGCGAGCGCCGCGCGGAAAGGGGGAGAGAGGAAAAAAAAAAAAAACACAAAACAAAAACAAAACAAAACAAAATCCAAAAAAACCAAACCAAAACAACCAAACTCGGAGGTAAAAGTGGAGCCCCTCTCGCAGCACGCAGGGCAGCGGCGGAAGGTTCCCCCCGCCGTGTGCCCCCCGCTCAGCGCCCGCGCACCTTCCCGGCGCCGCTGCACGCTTCTTAATGTACTTCTTCTGCTTTGTCCTAGAGGGAAGACTTTAACTAGTGACACGCAGATGTGCGAGTCCCTAAATTGTATGAGAGGACAGTCCACCCCGCTTTCAGGCAAGTTTAAAAACATGACTTCGGATTCTCTTTGTGATTCTTGTCGCTCCACTTAATACACCACCTCAGCGAAGAGCACTAACGACGAGGCAGTACGCCACCTGCATGCAATTAAAACGAGAAACCACTTGGCGGGCTGCTTTTCTTAAATTTTTCCCCCCCTGCGAGTTAGGGATACATATGAACTTTTTTTTTTCTTTTTTTCCTTTTTTTTTCTTATTTTGCCTTGAGGTATTAAAGCCCCCAAATCCTTAAACGAACCGGGGGCGGGAGGGGGAAGATGCCTAAGGATAACAAAGTTATCCGGTGCAATATTAGCCTCTCTGCAGCTTAACCCGTGTGCATTGCCTGCCCTGATTAACGCCTATTTTGTCACTGCTAGACTGCTATAGGCGACCCCCGTGGGATTCTGCTCTCTCAGCCCACCATGCAGAACAGTAAGTGACTGCGGGCAGCGCAGCGGGCGGAGGGTTCCGGCCGGGCCGGGTNGCAGGGCTGGCAGCAGATGACAAAAGATCAAAAGGCTGATCCAGGAGGGGACCCTTGGGAAAGCAGGAGGCCCCTGCTCCACCGCTGGGCACCTGGGCAGGGACACAGCACGTGTGAGGCTGGCTGGAAAGCACTGCCTGCGTGGCAGGGCAGCCAGGCGGCTCGGAGGGATCTCTCTGTGGGTGCACGGAGCATTGTGTGCTCTCCCAGAGCAAATGGGGCTCTCAGTGAGGGCTGTGGCAGGGGTGTGCAGGCAGGAAATGTGTGCAGATGTGTTGGGTCTGCTGTGCTCGGGGTGGGAATTACTCATCCTGCTTCCCATTCCCTGGCTGTGCTGGTGAGCACTCACCCGGCAGCCGGGAGCAGGAGGAGGCTCTGCTTGGTCCCTCTGCAGCACTGTGCCATCCCTCAGCCCCTGCCCCAGCTGCTGTCCCCCCTGGCACATTGGGGTTAGGGCTTGGAGTTGAGGTAAATGGAGATGTCTGTTCGGGGATGCTGCTGGCACAGGTTTGGGGTGGCTGATGGGGATCAGTGATGGGGATCGATGCACATGTGTGTGTGGGGTTGGGGGATTTTCCCGCTGAGCCTTGGGCCCCCCAGCCCCACCCGTGGTCTGTGTGCATGTGCCCCATGCTGGCAGATGCAGGACCAGCCTCTGAGCCTCAGTGGAGTGGCTTTAGTTACAGCACCAAGTGTGAGGTGACTAAAATGTTAATTACATTTTATTTACAGCACCAAGTGTGAGGTAACTAAAATGTTAATTACGTTTTATTTACAGCACCAAGTGTGAGGTAACTAAAATGCTAGTTACATTTTATTGACAGCACCAAGTGTGAGGTAACTAAAATACTAGTTTTGTTTCAGTTACAGCACCAAATAGGAGGTAAGATGCTGGCCCTGTCTCTGGCTGTGAGTGGTAGGAGACATTTTCCAAAAGGAAGATGGGTATAAAGCAGGGCAGCACTCAGCTTTAGGGATGTAACCCCTCCATCAGCATCTGGATGTAGGGATCTGCTCGCCAAGCACATCTGAAAAAGCTCCAGTAACTGTCCATATTGGTTTTTAGCCCAAAAGCCTCCATGAAGGGCCTGCTTTGTTTGTCTCCTAAATAGGTCTTTACCCTGGGGTGCCTGAATTTGAAACGTGAAGCTGATTTTTTGCTGTCTGGGGGCTGGCACGTCCATGCCCAAGGATGTGATGCTGCCTTCAGCTGCAGGGCCACTCACCACGTTGTGCTTTGCCCCCACAGCCCCCGGTGCCCAGCCAGACCTCCTCCTACTCCTGCATGCTGCCCACCAGCCCATCGGTGAATGGACGGAGCTATGATACATACACCCCTCCTCACATGCAGACACACATGAACAGCCAGCCCATGGGCACCTCTGGCACCACTTCCACAGGTGAGTGAGCTCCCTGCTCCCCCAGCCTCCCTGCCAGCCTGCCTTGTCTGCTCCAGCCATCAGAATTCACTGTACTGGCTTGAGAGGTCTCTCCCCATCGCTTGAGGAGCTCTCTCTGCTGCGATTTGTTGCTGCCACACCAGGCAGAGGATGAAAATATATAACCTTGCAAACTAGAGCAAAAAAAAAAAATTCTGATTTTTAAGCTGCTCCTTGGAGGGCTAGATGGAAAGAAAGCTGATTAACAGAGGTGGTGTGGAAATAGCAGGACAGAGGCAAGCTCTCCAGTGAGCCCCCCCACCCCTCAAAATCTTCCCTGTGTAATTAAATTCTAAATCAGCATTTATTTCAGCATTAAATTTCAGCAGAGGTATCCACAGTGGTGAGGTTAAGTGTATGTGAAACTGTTTGCAGTACTGGGCACATTTTTACCGTGTCTGTGTCAGATGTTATTTATTGCTAAAGGTTTGAAGTTATCAAAGAGGCAGGGAACCTGTAGAAATATTAGCCCATGCATAAAAAAGGCAAATCAGGGTAAAAAAGGGCAAGTGTTAGCAGACACAGGAGCAATCCAGGCACGTTTTAAAAGAATAGAACTGTTCTGTGTATTTTGGGCTGAATTCTCAACTGATACAAATGAGCAGAGGCTCTGGCATTTATCTCAAAGCGTGAAAGTTTATTTATAATGACAATCGGTGAGATGTGCATAATTTCTAAAATATGTGCACCCCCAACCCCTGATTCCACAGTCTGGTAGATGGTGAGATTTGATGTTTGCTGGGATAATTTGATGTTTACTGGAATACAAGCTCAAATCTGTGAAACCGTAAAGCAAAAATCGTGCTATGTATAGAAAAAACTAAAACATCCATTTTCCCTCTCAATTTTCAGGTCTCATTTCCCCTGGAGTGTCAGTTCCAGTTCAAGTTCCTGGCAGTGAACCTGATATGTCTCAATACTGGCCAAGATTACAGTAAAACATGTGTTAATTCCGTAAATGACTATATGGACAACAGTTGGATGTTCAGCAGTATTTTATAAAGGAAGAATGGCTCTCAGAGTACTTCTGTACTGCAACTGTGCCCTATGCTGTAACACATGGAAAAGACTTTCACATGGACCTTTGTACACTGAAGGCATTATATCAGTTGGAACAAATCTTCATTTTGGTATCCAAACTTTTATTCATTTTGGTGTATTATTTGTAAATGGGCATTTGTATGTTATAATGAAAAAACAAAAAAAGAACAATGTAGACTGGATGGATGTTTGATCTGTGTTGGTCATGAAGTTGTTTAAAAAAAAAAAAAGAAAAGGAAAAAAAAAAAAAGAAGCCATGATCAACAAGCTTTGCCATGAATTTAAGAGTTTTATCAAGATATATCGAATACTTCTACCAATCTGTTCATAGATTATGGATTGACGTTCCAAGTTTGTATCATTCCATTGCATATAACTGAACCTGGAACAACACGCACTAGATTTATGTAAGAAAAAATATCTGTTGGTATTTCCAAAGGTTGTTAACGGCTGAAGCTATGTGCAAACAGGGGTTAAGAGAGAGCTGCCATGAAGAAAAGAGTTTGATAGATAAAAGGTAGATTGTGTCTTCGATATAATCCGATTTGTTTTATGTCGAAATGTAAGTATTTGTCTTCCCTAGAAATCTCCCAGAATGATTTCTATAATAAAGTTAATTTCATTTATATTTGACAAGAATATTCTATAGATGTTTTATACACATTTCCATGCATCATACGTTTCTTTTTTGGTCGGCAAGAGTTAATTGTTCTTAGATATAGTTGTACTACTGTTCACAGTCCAATCATCTTTGTGCATCTAGAATTCATTCCTAATCAATTAAAAGTGCTTGCAAGAGTTTTAAACTTAAGTGTTTTGAAGTTGTTCACAACTACATATCAAGATTAACCATTGTTGATTGTAAAAACCATGCCAAAGCCTTTGTATTTCCTTTATTATACTATTTTCTTTTTAACCTTATAGTGTGGTGTTGCAAATTTTGTTATTGTGCTAGGTTAACCTCATTAAGCTTTATTTTGATTTTATTTTCAGTTTTCAGTAAGGAGGGGCTCTTAAGGAACACTTCATAGAGTTTCAGCCCTTCCACCAGCCTGTAATTTGGGCTAACAAAAAGAAGACAGCCTTAAGTTTAATTTTGAGTTTATTTTCAGTAAGGAGAGGTTCTGAAGGAACACTTTTACAGACTTTCAGCCTGTAACTTGGGCTAACAAAAAGATAGGTTCATGTATCTAACTGTTTATTTAGCTGGGGTTGCTGGGGATGCTCTAAATGAACTCCAGAACCCAGCAGAATTTCCAGAGGGAATTTGCACCGTGCCAGGCCTGTGTCTGTCTGTCCCCGTTGTACCTAAAGGACGCACGGACACACGTACACCCAGATGTACACCCCCCACTCCTAAAAATTGGTTTTGTTAGGATGCTTGAAAGGGGGAAAAAAACAACCCAGCTGCGTTTTTAACAGGCTCTTTGGGAGAGTGAATGCCATCCCTTTATATTGCCACACAGCACAATCTTAGTGTAATTTTCCATTGAACTTGTAACCTGGTTAATACCTCAATGCGCTTTGTGTGAGGGTTGTTAGTGTGGGCGTGGGTGGAGAGCTGCATGTCAAGGAATAATGAGAGAAGACAAATCAACAGGCAACAACAATGCGAGCTGGGACTGGCTAGTGAAAGCTAAAGGCCTTTAGTCACTGGCAGGGAAATCTAAACATTCCCATATCTATGAAGCTGGCTCATTGTGCTGCGGTTGTTACTCTCGATGCTGTGCTGAAAAAAGGGATCTCATGATTAAAAAGCCAATGTGAGGGGAGTTTTGAGTCAAAGCACAGGCATCACAAGCAGCCTTTGTAAAGCAGAGGTACCATCCAGACTGGTTATGTTTTCCTTTTGGCATTTTTGATAGCACTTCACTGGAGATTGGGATAGCAGGGCTGTGCTGCTGAGGCGGCTGCAGTGCTGCAGATGAGATTAAATGCACGTAAACTCAGGATCCTTTGGGGAAAAGAGCAGCTTTGCTCAAAGCATGAGATGATGGTTATTAAAATGAAGAGCTTAAAGCAAGCAAAAATGTGCTTTGATTTTGATACTGGTCAGTTTTAAGTATATTTTAAATTTTAAAGACATCCATTCACAAATGTCAAGGGAACAACAGTTTTAAATTTTTTTTGTACATTTAGTACATTTTTTTTAGTACATTTAGTACATTTTTTAGTGCATTTAGTAAATTTTTATCAGAGCTGTATTTATAAGCAAGAGATCAATTGCATTGAACACCACAACAGGCAGGTCTGTCCTCACACGGCTAACTTGAATCCGGGAACAATTAATTACAGGTACAAACCCAGCACTTGTACAGCTAATTACCGTGTTTATACCCACTAATGCAGCTTGTTATGGAAACGCCAACTTCTGCTCAACCAGGAACGGAAAAAGATCTTCCCATCCCTTCCTCCCCCGACAGCTCCTGCGCGCTGCTCCCGCAGGTGCCGATGCGAGGCGGGGGCAGCTCCCCATGGCCCTTCCCGGCTTTTCCCGGCCTTGCAGCTCCCCTGCCCGTGCTCCAGCGGCCTCCATGGTGCAGTGCCAGCCCTTCCATGGCGCATCCCCAGCCCTTTCAAGGTTTTCCCTGCCGGGCTGGGGCTGTGCGACAAAGCCGCGGGATGTGCGCGGATGGACCTTGGGATGATTCCAGTGACAGCCCCGCTGGCCGTGGCGGAGAGGGGGCATTTCTGGCTGGCTGGCTGCTCGCCGTGCCCTGTGGAAGGGGAGAAGTGCCCGCCTGGCTGGCTGCACATCGGGGAGAAGCCAGGATGCGCTTGGTGCCCGCAGCCGCTGCCGGGCGCTCCGCGGGGCACGGGCAGCCTTGCCCTGCTGCCAGCCCAGCCAAGGGGCATCGCCCCGGGTGGCATCGGCCCGGAAACCCCGCTGGATCTGCCGCAGCCCGGGAGCGCAGCTGGGAGCGGGCAGGGGATGGATGGATGGATGGATGGATGGATGGATGGATGGATGGAGCGTGGCTCCGTGGGGACGTGCTGCCTCGCCAGGCACCGCAGCCGGCAGCAGGAAAATCTCCAGCATGTTCTAATATCCATCTTCACCCCCTTTTTTTCTTCCAGAGCTGTGTTACTCGTGAAGAGTGAAATGTGCTGTGATGTATTTGCTCGGTGTAATGCAGTGATTTCCAAGGGTCTCTCCTCTTTTCACCGCTGAAATTAGTGGGAGTTTTGCTATTGATTTCAATAGGAACGAGACATTTCTGTGCATTTGGTTAAAATGTATTTCATAATAACACCTTATACTTTATTTATAAGCCCCTCCTAAGGCATTTCACAAATTATAGTCACACAAGAATTGATGTGTGAGCGCTGTCTTAATAACACCGTATTTTGTGTTTCAAATATTGTGCTCTAGATACAATATTTACATTTACAAGTGAAAAGGCTGCTAACCTAACAGTTATTGTTCAGAGCAGACAGATGACGAGCCACGCACGCTGATGGCGAAGCAGACACGCATGGGTGACACACGTGCTGGAGCCGCCTCGCACCGAGCGCAAGCCGCCTTTAATTCCTTGTCAAAGGTAAGCACCAGCCAGCATGTGCCCTGCCACAGGAGCCAGGCAGAGCTGCTTTCCCACCCAGGGTGCAGCACTGAAAGGGAGGTTTCCCCTCTTTTTTTTATTTTCTTTATAAACCCAGCAAAATGCCCCCATGGGCTGGTTCACTTTAGGCAGCCCAACACGGGATTTATTTGTAGGGGCAAGATTACAGTAGCAGACAACGACCCGGGACTGATAACACATTGCTTCCCCCAGGCTTTTCAGCCATTTGGAAGTCCCATTTCACTCATGTTCAATGGCCAAAGGTGTCTGGCTTCTTTTTTTAAACATTGATTTTTTCTGGTATTACCGACTAAAATATATTATCTCCCTTTCTCTGCTTAATTAATATTTGCAGCTTAGACTTATGCTAAGGAATAAATTTGTTCCACTTTTCCACAGGAAAAACAGCACTACAAAAACTGAAAATATGTGTTTTATTTAGTTTTTTCCTCCCCCCCCGCCCCAGTTCATTTCTCTTTGCTCTTGTCCTCAATTTCAGCAGTTGAGCTTTGTGCATCTGATAAGGCTTCTCCACTCTGGGAATGGTGTAGGGTCTTCTTTTAAAAGAACTCTTCTTTTGCAGCCCTGTTTTTGGTCAGAGTGTGATTGGCACCTACAGACACCCCAAACAACACCCTCCTCAATTGGAAACAGGGGAGGGAATTGGAATTATTGATGTGGGAAGGGGGTCTGGGGTGGCTGTTTGGTCCCATCCCGAGGGAGAGAAGGCACTGTGGGAGTGTTTTTCTGGATGAAGAGTGCAGGAAACCCCTAAAGCCCAGTGGCAGAGCCATGTTCCTGCTCTTTGGGTGGAAAACAAAGCACAGAATGTAGCTCCTTTTGGAGATGGAGAACGGTGTTAGGGAAGTCTCCCACATTATCATTCATCCTATGTTATCATTCAGTATTTCTTTGAGAAAACAGAGGCTGGAGGAGCCTGCACGAGGAACACAGTAGTAAAAAGAGAGTACAGTTTGGATAGCAGCCAGCTTGGCAGGTTCTTGCTTAAATTAATTCCTCCCCCAACATTCTCTTCTTAGCTGTGAAGAAAGAAAACCCCGGTGCATCAGCAGACAGTTAGGGTGGCTTACTCCAGGTAATTCACTATCCTGAGGTGGTCTGCAAAAGTGATCATGTGGAAGATGAGGGTGTTTTCATAGGGTCTGCAGAAATGAAAGCCCAAAGCAGTGAAGGCATTTGATCAGTCTGGTAATGTGTGCTGCTGACGTGCTGTAGATTTCCATGAGACCCCCAGCTGCCAGAAGACTTGCTGTATGTTTGGAAGGTGATGGAACCCTCCAAGAAACCAGCTTTCCTTCGAGTTTTGACCTCTGCTGACTGCCTTTCAGCACACAGAGAATTTCAGGGCCTTCTGTGCTGCTCCCTTTCCCCATCCTGGTTGTATCCCTGGTGAGAGGACCATGATTTTGAAAATGTGTGTCTGATGCTGGTGGGCTGTGTGCTGCGGCTGCTGTGCCCCCACAAAGGACTGTGATACTGGTTTTGCTGGGCTGGTAGAGGCCTCTGGTGCTGGACCCTCACTGTCGCAGACATCTTTTATGAAAAATCCTTTCTTTAGGATTTTTCCTCCTGAGAAGCTGGGAGGTTTCAAGAACAAAATGTAAATATTGATTTATCTGCTGCTGTAGAATGCAACAGGTGGATCTTTGATTGGCCCATATTGGATGTTTCTAATTAAAGGCCAACCGCAGCTTAGCTGGCTCAGACAGAGAGCATGAGACAGAGCTTTTGTCATTATTTTTTCTTATTCTATTCTTGGCTAGCTTTCTGATGAAATCCTTTCTTCTATTCTTTTAGTATAGTTTTAATGTAACATATATCATAAAATAATAAATCAAACCCTCCGAAACACGGAGTCAGATCCTCATCCCTTCCCTCATCCAAAGCCCCTGTGAGCACGGTCACACCTCACCACCTGGGCTGCACTGTAGGTGGCTCCGATGGTGAGCAGAGGTTCTGTGGGTGCCCCAGGAGGATCCCTGCTGCCTCCAGGTGCCTGACAGGAGCTGGAAGTCGCCTGGAATCTTCCAGCAGAGGTTGCAGTTGCCTCCAGGCACCTGACAGAGCTCACGTACTCCCCGGCAGCTGAAATGGGTGAGGGCTGCAAAGTGCAGCTCCTCCTCTCCTGGGACACACAAGCTTTTCCAGCTGCACCAGAGAAGTTTGGAGATTCACAGATAACCTCCCTCAGGTCAGGCCTGCACCAATGGGTTTTGAGGAGT